TTAATAGCGGTTTATCAATTTTGTTGATCTTTTCAAAGAACCAATTTTTGGCTTTGTTCATTTTCTGTTTTATTTGATTTTTTTCATTGGTTTTTACTCCTTATTATTTCCTTTTTTTCTACTTTACTTTTACTTCAATCTCCTTTTTGTACTTTTTTAAATTAGAAATTTAGGTCTTTAAACTTTTCTTATTTTCCATTATAGCATATAAAGCTATAAGTTTCTTTCTAAACATTGTTATGACTACATCCTACAAAATTCCTTAAATGCTTTATTAAGTAATAATTGATGTAAACGGCACATCTATAGATGTACAAATTTGACATATCTATACATCTATGAATGTATCACACCAAAAATGTACTCAAATCCTCCCTACCGTTCCTTGGTAACCACTGATTATCTTTCTGTCATAATAGATTAGTTGGCATTTTCTAGAATTTTAGATAAATGGAAATATTTTTATCTACTTCAGAACTTTACTTTCACTCAGCATACTTGTTTGATATTTATCTTTATTATTGTATCATGAGTTCATTTCTTCTTACTGCTAAGCAGTGTTTCATTTTATAGATGTACCATAATTTGTTTATCATTTACCCGTTGTGAATATTCAGCTTTTTCTAGTTTCTGGCTAATAAAGGTAAAGCTCTTGTGCAGATTTGCATGTAAATCTTTGTATGGACTGGTCATAAACTTTCATTTCATTTGGGAAAGAGGAATAGAGTGCTGTCTCATGTGACACATGAATGTTTATCATTTTAAGAAAGTTTGTTTTTCAAAGTAGTTGTACCATTTTCCTTTCCTACTAGCAATGTATGAGGGCTCTAGTTCCTCCATATCCTTGGGATGGTCATTTTATGGTTTTTTTTATTAAATCATAACTGTGTACATTCATACATTTATGGAGTACAATGTACTGATTTTATATACAATTTGGAATGCTTATGTCAAACTAGTTAACATAGCCTTCACCTCACTTACTTAATTGTTGTGTTAAGACTTTTATACTCTATTCTTAATAGATTTGACATGTGAAGTCAGTCATTTTAGTTTCAGCTATTCCAATGGTGTGCACTGGGTATCTCGTAGTTTTAACTTGCATTTCCTGAATGACTAAAGATATTGAGCATCTTTTCATGTATTTATTAGCCATCTGTGTATCTTCTTTGGACAAAGTCATTTTTTAATCAGGTTATTGGGCGGCACCTATGGCTCAGTGAGTAGGGCACTGGCCCCATATACCAAGGCTGGCAGGTTCAAACCCAGCCCCAGCCAAACTGCAACAAAAAATAGCTGGGCATTGTGGCGGGCGCCTATAGTCCCAGCTACTTGGGAGGCTGAGGCAAGAGAATCACCTACACCCAAGAGCTGGAGGTTGCTGTGAGCTGTGATGCCATAGCACTCTACTGAGGGCGACAAAATGAGATTCTGTCTCTAAAAAAAAAAAAAAAAAAAAATCAGGTTGTTTATTTTTCTAGTTACTTTTAGGAGTTCTGTATATATTTTCAGTATGAATCCCTGATTATTTATATCATTTGTAAATTTTTTTCAATTCTTTGGGTTGCCTTTTTACTCTATTGGTAATGTCATTTCACATGCAAAAATTGATGAAGTCTAGCTTGCCTAATATTTTGTTATTGTTGCTTGTGCCTTTGGTGCATATCCAAAAAAAATCATTCTCAAATTCAGTGTTGTGAAACTGTTCTCTCATATTTTCTCCTATGAGTTTTATAGTTTTAGCTCTAAATTTAGGTCTGTGATCCACTTCGAATTAATTTTTGTAGAGAGTATAGGGTAAAGGTCCGACTTCACGTTCTTCTGCATGTGAATATCCAGTTTTCTCAACATCATTTGTTTTTTGTTTTGGGTTTTTTTTAAAAAAAAAATATTACCTTACTGTAATTTTTTTTCCTTTATTTATTTTTATTTTTTTGGCCGGGGCTGGGTTTGAACCCGCCACCTCCGGCATATGGGACCAGCGCCCTACTCTTTGAGCCACAGGTGCTGCCCCCAGCATCATTTGTTAATGAGAATTTACTTTCCCTCCTAAGTGGTCTTGGCACCTTTGTCAAAAATCGTTTAACCATATATGTGAGGGTTTATTTCTGGGATCTCTATTATGTTTGATTAGTCTGTATGGCTTTATACCTGTACTGCCTGTTTTGTTTACTGTAGCTTTGTAGTTAGTTTTGATATCAGGAAATGTGAGACCTTCACTTTGTTCTTTTTTAAGATTGTTTTGGCTACTCATGGTCTCTTGAGATTCTGTATGAATTCAGGATAGATTTTTCTATTTCAGAAAAAAAATCATTGGGATTTTGATAGGGACTGGATTGAATCTGTAGACTGTTTGGGGTAGTACAGGTATTGACATCTTAATAATATTAAGTCTTTGAATCCATGAACATGGAATATTTTTCCATTTGTTTCCTTAATTTCTTTCAACAATGTTTTGTAGTTTGTAGGGCCCAATTCTTTCACCTCCCAGGCTAGGTTTATTCCTAAGTATTTTCTTTTCTTTTTTTCTTTTTTTCTCAATGCATTAGTAAATGAAATTGTTCCCTTAATTTTCTTTTCCAGTTCTTGTCAGTATATAGAAATGTAACTTTTTCATGTGTTGATTTGGTATATTACACTGATTGATTTTCATGTTACTTTTCTGAATTTATTTACTAGTTGAATTTATTACTAGTTTACTAATCTATAATTTTCTTATAGTGTCTTGGCCCTGGTATCAGGATGATACCTCATAGAATGAGTCAGGAAGTATACTCAATCAGTTATACTGATTGATTTTCCTGTTACTTTTCTGAATTTATTTACTAGTTATAAATGGATTTTTTTGGTGGAATCTTAGGGTGTTTATGTGTAAGAGCGTGTCATCTACAAACAGAAATAATTTTACTTTTTCCTTTTCAATCTGAGTACCTTTTGTTTTTCTTGCCTGCTTGCTTTGACTAGAATGTTCAATATTGCATTGAATAGAAGTACTGAGAGTAGCCATCTTTGTCTTATTCTGATCTTAGAGGAAGAGCTTTCAGTCTTTCACCATTGAGTATGATGTTAGCTGTGAGTTTTTCATATCTGGCCTTTATTATGTTGAGGTAGTTCTTTCCTAATTCTACTTTGTCATGATCAGGTTATTTAATTTTATCAAATGATTTTTCTGTACCAATTGAGATGATCGTGTAGTTTTTCCCCTTCTTTCTATTAATGGTATATTATACTGATTGATTTTCATATTATCCTTGTATTCTGCAATACATCTCACTTGGTCATGGTGTGTAAAATAAGCTATTGAATTTGATATGCTAGTATTTTTATTGGGGATTTTTACATTAACATTCATGAGAGATGTTAATCTCTAATTTTCTTATAGTGTCTTGGCCCTGGTATCAGGATGATACCTCATAGACTAAGTCAGAAAGTATTTCCTCCTTTTAAATTATTTGGAAGAATTTGAGAATAATAGACATCATTAATTGTTCTTTAAATATTTGCTAGGATCATCCATGAAAAGTCCTAGGCTTTGCTTTTTCAGGAGGTTTTTAATTGCTAGCTCAATTACTTTACTCATTTTACCAGCTATTCAGATTTTCTGTATCTTCAGAATTTGGTCTCTAGGATCTAATTTACATTCAGGCCAAGCATAGTGGTCATGGCTATAATCCCAGGACTTTGGGAGGCTGAGGCAGGTGGATCACTTAAGACCAGGACTTTAGCATCAGCCTGGGTAACATAGCAAGACCCTAGCTCTACAAAAATTAAAAATTATCCAGGCATAGTGGTGTAAAGCTATAGTCCTGGCTATTAGCAAGGCTGAGGCAGGAGAATGGTTTACGCCTAGGAAGTCAAAGTATAGTAAGCTATGATTGTGCCACTATACTCAGGCCTGGGCAACAGAGCAAAGACCCTGTCTCTAAAAAAATGAAAATAATTTACCTTTGATTTTTCCTTTGATCTCTGGGTTATTTGAAAATATGTTACTTATTCCCCCAGGTATTTGGGGATTTTTCCAGAGATCTAGTCTGTGTATACTTGAGAAGAGTATTCTGCTTTTGTTGGTGAAGTTTTCTGTCAGTGTCCATCTGATCAAATTAGTTGATTGTGTTATGTACGTCTTCCATACCTTTCTAATTATTTGTCTACTTACTTTCTTATTTATTGAGAAAGGGGTATGGAACTCTCAGACTATAAAATTTATTTCTGCTTCTAGTTCTATAAGTTTTTTTACCACATATTTTAAGCTTTAGGTGCACAGACATTGAGGACTGTTATATCCTAATGAATTGACCCCTTCATTATTATAAAATGATCCTCTCTATTTCTGGCAAAAGTTTTTGCTCTGAAATCTAGAGTTGTCATACTATATTTTCCCCATCTCTTTCCCTTTAAACTATTGAGTCTTTATATTTAAAGTGTGTTTCTTGTAGGCAGCATGTAGTGGAGTCTTTCTCATTTCTCTAATCTGACAATCTCATCTTTCAGCCTTTCAGGAATATTTGAAGATATTCCTATACTGTCAGTTATTTCTTACGTTGACTAAATATCCTTTATTATGGTTTGGCCAATACATTTTCTAAATACTTCACTATTGGTATCAAACTCTTCTGTGCATGATTTGCTTGAAAGGGATATTATATTACAATAGATACCTTGTGTTGCCTTCTGCAAGATTGCTGACCATTCTTTATTACTTCAGTTTATTCTCACAAAAGATCTGTATCTATTTAATTCTTCACCATTTAGTTAAAACCAATCTGGACCATCTGTTCCACTTTTCTTACCCTAATCATATTTTTATCTTGTCTAAGTACTGACTTTTTGATCTCCAGAAAAATTTCAAAGAGACTAAACATAAAATCTATTAATTGTTTCCTTGAAAATGTCTGTTTCATCTCCGTTATACTAGTTCTAGTTGAATTATTTTGAATGTGGATAAAATAAAACTAGACTATAACTGTGAAAGGGTATTAAAATGTTTGTCTTTTTTCCAGGTAAAAATGTCTCCATCGTATCATCAATCCAAAGGAGATCCTGTAGCTAAGAAGGTGAGTTTTAAAGAAACCCCCCCCCAAAACAAAACAAAATACAAACCCTTCTCCTTTTGGGTGTTTATTCTCCTCTCTCAAATAATTTTCTCAAAATGGCATCTTACTATTGCCAAAGATCCTTTCTGATTGGAAAGGACTCCTTGACTCTTTCAGAGACGCCAAGTTGGGTTTTAGCATCAATCTTCTGGCAACTAATGACTGTCAGTGTTCTAGAATTTCTATTTTCTATACAAGGTACGACATCCTGTTATCACTGAATGGTAGCAGGTAAAAGATATTCTAAGAAGGAAAGCTGTATAGTTTTTCTTAATAATGTGCTTTACCTCTAGAGAGCTATGCCTAAAAAACTTGCCTGAGACATTGGCATTTTGGCACATAGCAAATAAAAAGGTCCTCGGTAAATACTGGTAGACTAGACCTCACATCTGTGCCACTTCAGTTTCCAGCTGTAACCTTTTGACACAGATAGAGTGTGAGTCTTTCACCTGTGCAATGGTTAGATGATGTCAAGAGAACTACTAAAATCCTTTTCTTTATCTGGCTACAATAGTGCAGTTGAAACATGGTCAGCAGATTGACATTTTTGCTCATTTTCTTTTACCATTTTTCTTTCTCTGATAGTTATGTTTTCTTTCCTTGCCCTTTTTAACAGTTTCAGTCAGCGTCCATGTCAGCAAAGGATTGTAGAACAAAAATAACAACTTGCTGGCTCTGTTGATAACAGCAGGTTTTAGCTTCAAAGCAGTATGCCCAAAATGGATCCCTTTTCTCTGCCTTTAGAATCTCCTAAAACTTTTTCAAAAGAGAGTAGAATAAAAACATGCTTTCTAAAAAGTCCTATAAGATGCTGCATGTGAAAATCTCTTTCACTTTTGTCAAGGCGGCAAGGGCAGGCAAGACCCAGGCTATTACTTTTGCTACTTAGAACCATCACACTGTAATATGAAAAGCTAGAAAGAGCCTAAATCATTTCATCTCATTCAGTAAACTAATGAGGAAATTGGAACCCAGAGGAAATTTTTTTGTCTAAGCTCTCCAGTATTAGCTATGGGACACACTTCTCACATGGATACAGGCTGAGCACAGTGGCTCACACCTGTAATCCTACCACTCTGGGAGGCTGGCGGGTGAGGGGATTGCTTGAGCTCGGGAGTTCAAGACCAGCTTGAACAAGAGAAAGACCCTATCTCTAAAAATTAGCGGAGCCGAGCATTGTGGCAGGCACTTGTAGTGTCAGCCACTCGGGAGGCTAAGGCAAGAGGATTGCTCAAGCCCATGAGTTTGAGGTTGCTGCGAACTATGATACCATGGCACTCCACCCCGGGTGATGGAGTGAGACTCTATCTCAAAAAAAAAAAAGAGAGGTACAACCAGACTTGGGTTCAAAGATTTACTCTTCCACTTATTTATCTGAATGACCTTGAATAAGTTAGTTCTCTGTTCCCTCCTATGTAAAGTGGTGATGCTACCTCTTAGGGTTGTTTTGAAGATTTAATGAAGTATTCTGTTTAAGTGCCTAACATTGTCTTTGACACATAGCAAGTATTCAAGCTGTTGTTGACACCATCTCCTCTCTCTTCATCATCCTACTCATTTAATACTGTCCATTTAGCAAGTACAAGAAGTTGGCCGTTCCTATTTGTGAGTTCTTCGTCTGTGGATCCAACCAACAGATGGAAAATACTAATATTTTTAAAAATATTAACAATGCAACAATAAAAATACAAACAAAAAATATAGTATAACAACTATTTGCTTAGCATTTATATTGCATTAGATATTATAAGTAACCTGAAGATGATTTCATATACAGGAGGATGTGTGCAGACTATATGCAAATACTATACCATTTTATACAAGGAATTGGAGTATGTGGATTTTGATGTCCATAGAGAGTCCTGGAGCCAGTCCGCACAGATGGTGGATTCTGAGCTAAGCTATGGACTACAGAGATGTAAAATACAATCTTTGTTCTCACAGACCCCCACATTTTATTGGGAAGGGTAGACTGGTAAACTGATAATGGCCATAAAACCTGACACCTGGAAGGTGCACAGTGTGCAACAAGAGCACTGAGGAGAGGCCTGTTTTGAAATGACCAAGCTAATTTGGTGCAACTTTTATTATGTTTTTTTATGGTAAAAAGCTTTATGAAGAACTTAAGGAATGGTTAGCTGGCCCTCTACAACTTTGTTATCAGATTATAGTGAAAGCAAATTCTGTCACACATATAGACATTTATTAAATAAATACTCATTTAGAAATAAGTTTTTTTTTTTTTTTTTTTTTTTTGAGACAGAGCCTCAAGCTGTCCCCATGGGTAGAGTGCCATGGCATTACAGCTCACAGCAACCTCCAACTCCTGGGCTCAAGCGAGTCTCCTGCCTCCGCCTCCCAAGTAGCTGGGACCACAGGCGCCCGCCACAACGCCCGGCTATTTTTTGGTTGCAGCCGTCATTGTTGTTTGGCAGGTCCAGGCTGGGGATTCGAACCCGCCACCTTAGGTGTACATGGCTGGCGCCTTAGCCGGTTGAGCCACAGGTGCTGAGCCCATTTAGAAATAAGTTCATGTACTCTATTTTTCAACCTTGGCAGTGTCCCCGCTCTTTGCCATTTTAGCTGTATGACCTCTGTCAGAGATGTGGCAACATTACAGAAGCAGGTTCTGTTACCTTTATATCAGCATCAGACAAAAAGGAAGTTCCGAAACCAGCTGCCTGGCTTGGTCGGCACCAGGTGGCATTCCTGAGTGGTCAAGTAAAGACTTCCTCTTTGTGGAAGAATTGGGAGTATCTCTAAAATACTTTACCAAATCTTCATATCTTGAATCCCCTGTTATCTTATCAATAATTTCTAATACTCAGCACACTTACTAACAAGCTATTAATCTTACCAATAAAAAGGAATTCTACTTTTTGAGCTAATGAGCAAAGTCTTACATGTTGGTCAATGTATGAACAGCTGAAGTGCTTTTTTTTCCTTTTTTTTTTTTTTTTTGAAAGAGAGTTTGACTTGTCACCCTCAGTTACAGTGCCCTGGCATCACAGCTTACCGCAACCTCAAACTCTTGGGCTCAAGCGATTCTCTTGCCTCAGCCACCCAAGTAGCTGAGACTACAGGCACCTGCCATGATGCCCGGCTATTTTTAGAGACAGGATCTAGCTCTTGCTCAGGCTGGTTATGAACCTGTGAGCTCAGGCAATCTACCTGCCTCGACCTGCCAGAGTGCTGGGATTATAGAAGTGAGCCACCATACCTGGCATGAAGCGCTCTTTCAGTAGCTGCTATTGGAAGTTTATGTTAGCCAGACACTCCTGAAATGACAATTCTTTTTTTTTTATTGAGACAGAGTCTAATTATGTCACCCTTGGTAGAGTGCCATGGCATCAAAGCTCATAGCAACCTCAAAGTCTTGGACTCAAGCGATTCTTTTGCCTTGGCCTCCCAAGTAGCTGGGACTACAGGCACCTGCCACAACACCTGGCTATGAAAATTCTTAATTAAAGCCACTGATCACTCCTGAGTTGAAGCCCAAACTAAATAGTGCATATTTGTTAGCATACTGTTTGTAGCATCTATATTTACTTTAAAATATATGAAATCAGACAATTAAGTTTGCAAACTCATTCTAGAAAAAGTGTTCCATGCCTCACTGCTGAATATCACTACAATCATCAGATGGCCAAGGGGAGGACTTTGAAGGTGACCATAGTGATACTCAGCAATGAAGTGTGTAGCAGTTTTTCTAGGATGAGTTCGTGAACTTAATTATCTGACTTTGTATGTCATAGCAGGTGACTATCTCAAAATATGGGGTCTTGGAAGGCTTCTCAAAGCAAATAAAGTTTGATCTTGCCTTGAAAGGCAAGGGTAAAGGTATCCCAGCCAGACGTGGGTGAGTACAGAACATTTTAGGAAGTGGGGATTATTCTATATACCTTAAATAAGAAAGCATGGGAAAGTCTGGTGAAAAATAGATGGAGGTCCAGATCACAAAGAGTCCAAGTCTGTGAAGTTTTCTTTTTATCTTGAAGATATGGGTTTCCATCAAAGGTAAGATTAAAGGCAAAAAGACCAATTAGAAGATAAGACAGTTGTCTGGGCCAGATAAAGGTCTTAACCCTAGGTTGTGTTAATAGAGTTAAGAAATGGCACAGATTCAAATTTCAGCTATTTTCCCCCAGAAAACCTTTCTGACACCCTCCTTAAGTCGTCTTTGAGCTCATAGCTCCTTGATGTGTTGAGGTTTCCTCTTTATTTAATGTCTGTCGCCCATTGCCTCATGAGGGCAGGAACCACATCAGTTCTGTTTATTGTTTTATCCCTAAGTGCAGAACAAAGTAGTCACTTTATGAAAGAGGTCCCACAGGACTTCATGGGTTTATACAGGAAGAGAGGGGAAAAAGTAGTTTCTGGCCTACACAACTAGAGGAAAAATAAATGAAGCATCATTGCTGTATGTTTAAACATCCAGGCTAGTATTTCCAGGATGGTCAGTTCCTCACTGAATCACCAGTACTCTGAGGTATACATGAAGATCAGTGTGAAACTCTGTCCTAATTATTGCTTCCCTAGTTGGGTATATATTTTTGTGTGTACTTGCTTGCATGTTCATATTATATCTGTGTATATATTCTGCTGCTTGTCCTTGAGCTACAGTCTCTCTTCCCAAAGTTGCCTTGACAGATGGATGCAGCAGTAGTATCTGTTGAACAGAGTCTCAGCCAAAATGACATGTGTCAGAAACAACGGAAGCAGTCATGTTCTTGATTTAGCCAAAGAGTCTCTGTTGACTGATAACTGAAGGAAGTGTTTGGTGACTCTGCTGTCAGTATTAGCCCTGCCAAGAGCTGGATTCAGATGTTAAAGAAACAGGAATCACTTCTGTAGGGCTCTACTAACTTCTTGGGACTTCTTAGGTGTCTCATGTAGGAGTCACTTTTCAGAATGTCACTGTTCCATTTGGTGGCCAAGTGACAGAGTGTGTGGCACGTTCC